CAAGGTGACAGCCCCGTGACTGCAGCGGCACCTGGCTCCCTGTGCAACAGCGGTGAGAAAAGGGTTTGATTTAACCCTTTTCTATCTCCAACTGGATTTAACTTCTATCTCCAACTGGAGATAGAAGGTAAATTTTGCTGAGAGATGGGTGCCCAAAAATATGCGGGACAGATGTGGGGATGGATAGGAATGCTGATCCTCCGTGGAAGGAGGGAGGATCTCACCCAACTGTAGTCATGGCTGCTGCTCTCCACTGGTGTGATGGGGGTCCGGCCCACGGCAGTGCGTGTTGTCTTGAAGAGTGTCAGGTTTGCAGCCTGCCTGGACTTCCTCTTCCCCAGGCCATCTCCGTGGCTGCTGTTCACCACAGCCGTTGCACTGCAGCCAGCATCAATAAAATCTTCAAAATATTCTGCTTTGAGGTAAGGCAGCTGTGGAAGAAGAAAGGGAGAAAGAGAAAATTTGTTAGCAGCCCAGCTGAGCTGGGGTGCAGGTTAGTAAAGAAACGTCACCCACAGATAAAGTTTGGGATGGGAGTTCTTTTACAAAGGGCTTCCCAGTGGCCCCATCCAGCCTGATACAGCAGGAGCAGGTTTGTAGGGAAGGAGCTGTGTGGTGAAGTGCTTTCTGGCTCACACATCATTTGTGTTGCCACTTGCCAAGGGCATGCAGGTCATTACCCACCAAAGGAGAGCGATTTCTACCTTTGTGACACTTAGCATCACCTAACCCCATGTAGTAGGACAGACAGTGTCCTACCTGCCCACATGGTCAGCAACTGTTGAATCCATCCATCCATCCATCCGTCTGTCCATCCATCCATCCCCCTGCATGGTGGCTCACTACTTCCAAGCAGCAGTGTGCTGGCTCCTCAAGGTTCTTTGAGCCCACTTAAATCACTGGACCTGGCTTAGTGACAAAGAATAAACTGATCTTCTAGCGTCTCTTGACCTTAGCAGGAGAGGAGCGCTAAGAGTGGGTGCAGAGATATGGAAAGATAAAATGCTAGTAAGCTTTGTGAGCATCAGCTTGAGTCTTGGTTCTTCTCACGGTTGCTTTTTTGGGCTGTATCACCCTTGAACGAGACCCATCTATCACCGCAGGCAGGGCAAGCCTGGAAGATCCCATCAGATTTCTCCATCAGCAGAATGATCCCTCGCTTTGGGCTTTTTGTCTCATTTTTTGATAAAAAACTCCAGCTCTTCAAGGTGGGATGGGGCAGGCACACCTGTTACTTGGCTCATGGGGTCCCAGCTGGCCACCAAGGCTGGCCTAGAGCCAAAGCACAGATGTGCCCCTTTCTCTTTTGGACAGAGTTGAATTGAATTGTCTTCTGTACCTCTCCTTCGGTGTGTCTTTGCTTCCTGCCTCTCTGGGATGGGGCTGGGGCATGAAAAGGAAGCGAGAGCAGTGGGGGATTTCCTCCACTTTCTTTCCAACCCTTTCTTTATTTACGTCTCTTTTGTATTGCTTCTACCTTTAGGGATATTTTTTTTTAACCTCCCTTGTTGATAACACCCCTGTAAACTTTTACAGCCCTGTTTATGATAGACCCATTTTGTGGCTGACTGGATGCATGGTGTCTAGCTTGGTGCAACCATCACTGAGGATTCAAGCCAGGCAAGTTGGTAATACAGCTAAGGAGGTGGCTAGATGAAAACTCCCTCCTATCTTGTGCACCTGGGTTTCCTCTGCTAGGTCCCCGTGTCTGTGTTTTGCTTCCTTACCTCTTTTCCACATCTGACAGTGGTCGATCTATAGGAAATATGACTTGCCTCCACAAGCGTTCTTTTCACACAGATGTTGTGGAGATGTTTTCTCGCAAGCCCAGGGTGCTGCTAGTTTCAGTTAAACTCACATCTTAATGATGTTTTCACAAATGGCAGCTGGTGGAGAAACAGGAATAGGAACCATGTTTCAGGAGGGGGTCTGCACATCTCTTCTTGTGGTTCTGCATTTCCTTGTTGAGATGCCAGGTCCTGAACTTTAGTCACAACAACCCCCTGCAACGCTACAGGCTTGGAGAAGAGTGGCTGGAAGGCTGCCTGGAGGAAAAGGGCCTAGGGGTGCTGGTCAACAGCCGGCTGAACATGAGCCAGCAGTGTGCCCAGGTGGCCAAGAAGGCCAACGGCATCCTGGCTTGGATCATGAATAGTGTGGCCAGCAGGAGCAGGGAGGTGATCGTGCTCCTGTACTCGGCACTGGTGAGGCTGTACCTCGAGTGCTGTGTTCAGTTTTGGGCCCTTTACTACAGGAAGGACAATGAGGTGGTGGAGCGTGTCCAGAGAAGGGCAGCGAGGCTGGGGAGGGGTCTGGAGAACAAGTCTAATGAGGAGCAGCTGAAGGAACTGAGGTTGTTTAGCCTGGAGAAGAGGAGTCTGAGGGGAGATCTTATCGCTCTCTACAACTACCTGAAAGGAGGTTGTAGTGTGGTGGGTCTTGGTCTCTTCTCCCAAGCAGCAGGCAATAGGACAAGGGGAAATGGCCTCAAGTTGCATCAGGGGAGGTTTAGATTGGATATTGGGAAAAATTTCTTTACTGAAAGAGTGGTCAGGTATTGGACCAGGCTGCACAGGGCAGTGGTGGAGTCCCCATCCCTGGAGGTGTTCAAAAAACATGTAGATTTGGCACTTGGGGACATGGTTTAGGAGGCATGGTGGGGTTGGGTTGGCAGTTGATGATGTTAGAGGTCTTTTCCAACCTTAAGTATTCTATGATTCTATTCTATGATTCTATGAAGAGGCCAGCCATAGCCCCAGCGCCTCCTCCAAACTCACCCTTTCCCGAGACAGCTCCTGTGGGACCCCAGACCTGTTGCAGGACCTGTTGCAGGACGTGAGACCTGCTATAGCATCCCAAACGTCACTCCCCAGGTCCTGTAACAAGCAGACCTCCACTCACCCCCAGTCCTGACTAGGTGGGCTTAGATTTCCTCAGTGATATGAATCTCAGAAACTTGATCTTTGAAGCACAACCGGTGCTAGCAAACAGGCTCTGTAAGAGAAAATATGCCAGCATGGAGGAATGAAGCAGATCTCTGGAGAGCAGCAGTTGGATACGGCTAAAAATCAAACCTTGGAAGTGTGATTGCTGTTTTGGAGGTTTGGAAATAATATACAAGTGTTTCACAGGGCCTCTTCTGCATAGTCATAAGATGGAAGAAACTCCCCCCTCCCCAAAACCAGGTGGTTGTCTTGACTCCAGACAGATCCACTGATGAAGTGGCTCAGTGCAGCCCACAGTTCCTGAAAGGTGAAAAATTGGTTGAACCTTTCCTGGGGTGAATTTAAGCGAGTGTCCAAGGCTGCTGGTTACAATGTGCAGTGGGGGGAAATGATCTCCATGGCCATTGATAGAACTCCTTCAGTGATTACAAACAGAAAAATGGACACAAGTCTTTGTAGCTAGCCTAGTAGTGAATATACCACATTTTAGCATTGTGGGATGTTGCAATCTTTTGTCTGGCAAACTGTCCTTCATCTGTATCCCTCACTGAGAAATGGCTTCATAATTCTTCAAAAAAACAACTGTGGTTCTCCTTGTGTATGATAATGTGAGATAACTGAGCAATAGACAAACTTCTCTGCTTTGAGATCGAGCTTTTTTCCCACTTAGGTAACGTCAGCTCTCAATGAAATACTTCATGGGTTTCCTCAAAAACAAATAAGCCACAATTACAGTAGCGTTTCTATGTGATGTACAAATACAGGGTACCGACCATGTAAAAACATATGGCAATTTCATGGTTCAGGTGCTGGTGTTAAGACTTTGCAAGGTACTGTAGATGGAGCCCTTCATTTTCCTGGCTTGCTTCTCTTTTCCCTAAATGCATCCTTTGATTTTCCTGTTTTTTAAAGATTTTCCTTTGAAAATGAACACTGAGTTTAAACATTTTTATGTGACTTTCTCAGGTTTTTCAAAATAGTAAAATAATAGATTGGTGATAATATTTGCAATGGGCAGCTGGACTGAACATCCTCAAAATTAAAATAATGCAGCTCCAAGCAATCGCTTATTGTATTTACTTGCAAACTCTGTCCAGTGGTGACCCATGCTTTCAGAGCAAACAGAGTAAATATTGTTTCCACACTTCACTCAACTGGGAATTTCAGTCTATATAAAGTTTCATAGAATCATAGAATGGTTTGGGTTGGAAAGGACCTTATAGATCATCTCATTCTACTCCCCCTGCCATGGGCAGGGACACCTTCCACTAGACCAGGTTGCTCAAAGCCCCATCCTTGGTCTTGAACACTGCCAGGGAGGAGGCAGTCACAGCTTCTCTGGGCAACCTGGGCCAGGGCCTCACCACCCTCAACAGTTTCACTCTGTGGATTTAACTCAGAGAGCCTATTTTATGATGTTTTTATATCAATCATCTGAGTTTGGGAGGGGGAAAAAAAATGTAATTTGAATCACGAGCAATTAAAGAAACAAAGCTTGAGCCTGCAAAATGAATATAATTTTCAGAATGATCAGAAGTGTCACTTTATTTATCTGAGGCTCCTCACACTTCAGGGGTGTGAGATACCCTCTTAATGGGGTTGAATAGACAGCTCTTGGCACATCCCTTGGCTCCCTGTTACAAGGGCTGGATGTATTTTACTTTGGGAATGACTTGCAGCACTTCGCATGGGAGCTGGTGCACCTCCCATCTGAGGGAGACCTGCCTTCTGGGAACCAGCAGGTCTTGCCAACCTGCTCACCCTCCAACCCCCTTGAAGTCCTGTGAGTTTGATTGCATTTGTCATGGAGGTTGCTCAGGCTTCCTCCTCCTCCTCCTCCTTCTCCTTCTTCTCCTCCTCTGCTCTTCTTTCTGCTGCACTCAGCAGTACCAGAACATGGCATTTGGTATGCGTTTAAAGAGCGTGAGACAAGCTCTGAGTGAATGACTCATGGTTTCTGGTCAGCATTTATTTCTACAAATACCTGTTCTGGGTGGAAACCTAGGGTAGTTTCCTTAGTTTAAAGTTTATCTTGGCATTTTTACTTTTCCCTAGGTGTCAGCTCTCAGGATGTTACAGAGACAGCTCCTGGAATCCCAGGAGGAAGTGGGCAGATCGTCACAACTACAAGCACCAGCAAGACGCAAGCGACCACCCCTACAAGCAAGCAAGGAAACCCACCATCCACCTCTATGATGTCAACGGCCACAGTTCAAAGGACCACCCTTACAAGCAAGCCGGGAAACCCACCGCCCACCCCTGTGATACCACCCACCACTGTTCAAGGGATCAGCCCTACAAGCAACCCAGGAAACCCACCATCCAGCCCTGCGATGTCACCTGCCGCAGTCCCAAGGACCAGCCCCACAAATAACCCAGGAAACCCACCACCAGCCCCCACGACACCGCCCAGCCATTCTTTGCAGGTCAGCTCTTCAGCCAGCTCCGGAGCCTCCACAGTCACCCATGCTGTGACCTCCAGTGTGTCCCAGCAGAAGACCAGCCCTCCAGCCAGCTTGGGAAGCACAGCAGCCACCACTGCTGCAAGTCCTGTCCCCACTCATGCGAGAGGCCCTCCAGCCACCCCAGGAGGTTTAGGGACTGCCATCGCACCCTCTCCCAGTGTGCAAGCTCAGGGAAGCCAGCCTTTGGACCAGCTGACCAGCACCATTGCGAGCACCGGAGTCCCAACAAGCAGCCTTCTCCCTGGTCTCAAGGACTATGGCATCTCTTCTCACACATCTGTCACCAAGCAGCCTCAGTCTTCTCCCAGTTCACCAGTCCAAGGACTGGCCTCTTCCACCAGACCTAGAAGCACTGACACTTCTGTTACCACTTTTGCTGGAGCCATCTCCCCTACCACTAGTAAAGCTTCTCTGTCTTTATCACCTGGCAGCATCAGCAGGGTCTCAGAGGCAGCCACCACGCCGACTCTAGGAGCAGGTACCAGAGACTAGAGCCTTGATTTCTCGAGTTGGGAGGCCCTTTTGTGGTCTTTTGCTTTGGCTACTCTAAACACCTCCTGTCAGTATCAGGTGTCATCACCTTGTCTCATTGTAGAACTATCCAGCATAGTCATCTCCATGACAACTGGGTGTTCAGTTCCCTGTTGTCATCAGTGGAGACAGAGTCAATGCAGTCAGTGAAATTCAAGGCATGAAACAACTGACAAAGCGTAGACATTGGCTTTCGGATGGACCAAACTGTGCTTGAAGCACTATCAACTGCAATGACTTGATCTTCAGTGACTGCAAAAGAGAGCCATCAGCGATGAGTTTGGAGGTGGAGACTGACATTGTAGAGTTGGTGAAACAGATTGGCAGCATCCTGAATGCTGACTGTAGAAGATCCCTAGTATGGCTGACAGCTTAGTGAAGGCCGTATGGGCGTGCATAGAAAATAAGCTTTAGATGACCAAGGAGATTTTGTGGCTAAACTCTGAGCCTACAACCTCTAAAGAGTCTAAGCAGTTAGGTAGGATATTCGTCACTGCTGTGGGGGGTTTGGCTGCTGACTTCTGTCTAAGCAGCATTATGAGTGCCCACGTGGTGTTTAGGATCTTGTTGAACACCATTATGTTTTCTCTGGACCTCCGGAGCTTTATAGAACCATGTTAGTTTATAAGTGTCCTGGTGAGGCACAGTCTAGGGTTCCCTTTGGCATTTTGCCTGGTAGCGTTTACAGGGAAGCAATCACACTGTGGGACTGCGAGGGCTCCCTGGAGCCTTCCAGACTTGGGTGGCATTGTGGCTTCAGCTCACATCTGGCTCTGAATAAAAGCTGTGATGACACTGAAGCCTTTCACTATCTTCCTCTGGAGAAGGTTGTTCTTGACCCAGTTGCAAGCTACCTGCAATACAGAAGCCACTCAAAAAAACATCCCCTTCCCCCTCAGCCTTCCAGCTCCTCCTTGCTGTCAGCATCACTAAATGGGCCAAGGTCTTAATGCAAGACCACCTTCACTGGCTTCATCCAAGTCATTTTTTGAGCATGTTAGCAGGCATTAGGAGGTGAAATGGGTGTCTTCATGAAGGATGTTTCTTTCCCCTCCTGCTCCACGGGACTGTTCTCCACTAAAGGATGATATACGAAATTATGTTAGTTCAGATTTGACCTGAAGCATTGAGCATGAAGAGGTTTAAAAAACCATTTAATAAATAGGGGAGAGAATGCAAGAGAAACAGATGGCTTTGAAATTAATTCTCTCCTGGAGCTTTCAGAATGTGTCTGGGAGAGAAATATCCCTCATTTTTTCTGTGGAAGAGGCAGGAGTCCCAAAAGCGAACAGGCCGTGAACAGGATGTGGTGTTTTAATTCTCTTTGTCACCATTTAAGGATCAATTAGGAACCCAGTAATGGAGACCATTTCTTTGAAAGAATTCAGGGAGGCAGGAGGCGGCTCCTTGCACTGCTCCCATTGCACAAGAAAATGTAAGATGCTGCAGACCTTAACAAAGGCATCTGAGATGATCTCAGGTATCTCAGACACCAGCATGGGGCTGGTAGGTGTGGGGCATGTGCCCTTCTGGAGTAGCAGGCAGGCAGGACACCCCAGGCTGTCTCCCGTAGTGCCAGGCACTGCTTCTAAGCCTGACACCCTGGGCTTCTTCTGTAGCTGGTGGAGAGGCAGTCAACGGAGGTTATGGCATTTCATCCCCTCCTATTGGAGGTGGCTGCAGTTGTTCAAGGGGTTGCACAATGAACTCCATTCACTGGGAGATCCTGGGTAGCCAGCTCAGATAGTCTACCTCTGTTGTAGGAATCTCCATGGATGACACCCCAGATAAGTGAAATGAGGACCATCCCATTTACCCAGCAATGCTCCTTTTTTAAGTGATTACCCAGCTACCAACGCAAAGCTACCGTTGCCTTTGGGTTCATCTCTCCAGAAAGAGTCTGGTGGGTTTCAGCAGCAGAAAATACAGTCTGCAATATGATTTTTTTATATCACAGTTATTTTTTTTTAAAAAAAAAGAAAGAAGAAACCCCAAACCTCTCCAGGCTTTGACACAGTGAGCTTCAACGCAGGGCTAGAGCTGAAATCTTATTTTCAGCTGCTTATGAACAGACCTGTCAGCTGTGTTCTCTATTCTGTATCAGTGTCTGTCTGCTTGTTTTTTTGCTGCATATTGCGGACCCAGACCAGCGAAGCCATGAGGCTGAAACTGCATCAACCAAACCTGCAAGCGCTGACCAGAGCCCCACCAGTGCATGGCCATCAGCCCCAGCCCCGGGGGACCAGACGGCAAGCAGCAGTCCCGGCCACCAGCACCCTAACGCTTCTTTCCAAAATGAGGTAATGATGCCAATGGGAAGGTGGGCACTTTGTAGTAGTGTCTGTTAATATTCAGCTGGCATCCCACGTACATGTAAAGCCTGCAGCTCTCGTTGCTGTGCATGTCTGTGTCAGAGAGACCCGCCTTAGGGAAACATCAGGCAGCAAAATAATTCTAGATTAAAGCCCTTTCTCCCGTAGCTTTCCAGTGAAGAGGCATGGAGGAGGGAGGTTGTGATCTGGGTGCTGAACAGGGAAAAAGTGAAATCATAGAATCATTAAGGTTGGAAAAGACCTCTAAGAACTTCAAGTCCAACCATCAACCCATCACCACCATGCCTACTAAAACTGGGAAATTTGGGAAGAGAGAGGGAAGCATCATGCAGAGCAGAAGCTGCCTTGAGGAGGACTTGGACATGATGAGAGGACAAAGACCACACTTCAGCATCAACCATTCACGGACAATATTAGCAGAAAACTGTTTGGGAGCGTAGGGGAGTCTCAAAACAGCTGGGATAACCAAAGTGCTGGGAAGGAGGGCAGGGGATCCTGTTTCTAGACGCTTGTCTTCTGTAGGGCAGGACTGCACCATGGCCCACTGGCATGGATCTTCCTACTGTCTGAGCCAATTCCCGCTTTACCCCATACTGCAAATCCGAAGCCTGGTTTGGGAAGTGCGTTAGCAAATATCCCACAGACAACCATGTCAGTTAGCTGTGAAAATCCTTTCCACATATAAAGGGTTGAGTGAAGGGCTCCTGACTCATTTCCATAAAACTGATCAGAGATTTGGTGAAGATGTCTCCTGGCTTGGGGCAGTCTGTTGTATGGGTGACCAACTCTCCTTCCAACCAATGTCACCAATTTGAGAGTTGCTTTTCTTCTGTCATTCCAGGTCATTTGTACAGACCAGGTGCAAAATAATTGGCCCACCATGTATCTGAAAGAAGCCAGAACCTGTGTAAGTACCACCCTTTTGGACTTCAGTGTAGGATTGGAGATCGGCTTTTAACCTGTGGTACTCTGAGCGTGTGAGCCTGCAGAGATGACAGTCATTTCATCAAAATAAGATGCAACCAATTTTGGGGTGTAAAATGCTACATGCAAACCCACAGTGAGCAGTATCACCTGGTGGGGTAGATGGCAGGAGAAGAAGAGGCCCATGTGGTCTTCTTCAAGTAGAAGGACCAGCTGAGCCCGCCGTGGTCTCAGAAAAAGAGCAATGGGAAGTTATAGAGGGTGAAACTTTCCCTCTGCAAAGGCTAATGGGAAAGCTTTTTGCCTTTGCAGAGGGGCCAGAAGGTCATCCGAAAACCCACGAAAAAAATGTGGAATTCCTCCTCATATCTGGAGTAGGGTAGCATCTGACTGCAGAACAACTGGGAAGCCCAGCAGCCTGGAGTTTGGGACTCACTGTGCTCCTCGATGTTATATCAGCTCTCACAGAACCCTAAAATGAGATCAAAAAACTCCATTTCATTTGGTTTAGGCCCTCTACAAGACCGGAGAGTAGTAAAATGTAGTGCCAAGGTTGGGCAAAGGCAAACCCAACCCAAGACTATACACCAAGACCTCTTCTTCTGGTGGGTGGGTATAGTCTGCTGGCTTTTCTGAGGGATACCCACTTCAAAATGATTCTGGTAGAAACTATGAGTTTCCTGTAATAGTGAAGATGCAATATATTAATAACTTTTAAATAGGCTGAAGTTTTAAGTTTATGACAAAGAGGAAGAGACAACACCACATGGGTGGTGAGGTCTTGACAGAATGATTGTATCTATCTGAGCTGTGAGTAGGGCTCAGGGGTGGGTTCTGGCATTGTAATGCTCTGGTTTCTGGGTCTCAGCACCGCCAAGGCAGCGTAAGCTTCAGGAAATTAGCACTTCAGGGACCTTCTCACACCTTATTCTGCACAGCATCAGCAGTGGGTGCTCAAGTTAATGAATCTCTGCCTGTCCCATTTGTAAAAATGAGCTGACTCTTGACTTCACCGTACGGTGGTGAGATGCGAAGTGAAGCCACGCTATTCATAAACCCCCTTGAGATACATGCTGAGACAAGCACAGTCGCTCCTCCTGACCACAGTGGCTCTTGAAATTCCCTGTGGCTTGGTGGTGGCCCTGCTTGGGGGCCCCGCTTGGCAACCCTGGAGAGGGCTTGGACCTCCAGATAGCACCCATCGTGCTCCTAAAGGAAGGGAAGTGCCTGGCTGCTGCCATCTCATGGTCATCACCTTCCTGCTTTAGCTGCTGCTGGGTGTAAATTCTCCTTGCCTGGACACCTGCAGAAATTATGATGTTCTAAGCCATGCTGCCCTCTGCCCAGAGAGGTACTGGAGGCCCCATCCCTGGAAACATTTAAGGCCAGGTTGGACGGCGCTCTGAGCGACCTGGTCTAGTTGAAGATGTCCCTGGTCACTGCAGGGGGGTCGGGCTAGATGTCCTCTAAACGTCCCTTCCAACCCAAAGCATTCTATGGTTCTGTAATAGTGCTGAGGATGACTCCAAGGAGGGACCTTATTACCGTGATGCCCATGACAGACGCTACAGCAGGACAGAATCTCCTGAGAGCATCCTCTGCCGTGCTTCATGCGATGCCTGAACCTGCGTCCACACTGGGAAAGCTTCCCATCAAATTTTATATTGAATATATAAAAATACATCATCAGACTGACAAAATCTGATTTTGGAGCCTGAAGCACCCAGGCGAGTTATGACCACGCTGGTGTTTAACGCTTCCCCTCTCCTCCTGGGTGCAGTCCTGTTCTGTGTGGAGCTGCTGCCCTCCCCGTGGCTTCGCCGGAGCTGTGCCAGGAGGCTTTTTGGAAACAGGGATGGTAAGGCTGGGAAGTGCCGGCACGCAGCGATGTGCCGGTGAGCTGAGGGCTGGGCAGACATCACGGCTTGGCATCCTCCACCGCTCCCCTCCGCCCCCTCCCCTGGGCAACGGTGCTGGAGCCGGCGAGCCAGCGAGTCTGCCGCCCTGTTTCCCTTGGATTCCTCTGGGCACAATAACGAGCAGAAGCATTGTTAGTACAAAATGCCAATTACGCCTCAAAACAGCTGCAGAAAGACTGTAAGGGTGCATCCTCCCATAGCATCGCTCTCCTCGGCTGCCAGAACACCTCCCACCCGCTTGCCGTTAACTTTCCACTCCGCGTATTCCTGAAAATTGCAACAAATTTTATGCCTCCCCAGCCGAGCAGATAACAGAGAAATGGCACTATCTGGTTTCCCTGCTTTGTAGGCCCGGTAAACAAGTCTCTAGCCAAATCTTGACAGCAAAGTGAAAAAATCCTTTGCATTTCACAACCCGTGGGAAAACAGGAAAGTGCGTGCTATAAGGAGAAGTGTTCCAGAAACGGCTCCAATCCTGGTCCGCAAGAACGAGCCAGAGTCAGGGCAGCATTGTGCTGAAAGCTCAGCTCCCAAGAGAAGCTGGGAATTATCGAGGGCAACGCAAGGTCCCAGCGGTGGGAGACATGTCTGGGTCACATGTGGCAGGGGAGGGGGCAATGCAGACCACCCCAGAGATGGGGTCATTGGGCAGCGCTGGTGATGCAGGGACCCCAGCAGAACAGTTGGGACTGAACCCAGGAACTGCGGGCGTTGCACCTCGTTGCACCTCAGTTTCTCCAGCTGCAGTAAATTTAAAAATTTAAAAACCCCTCAATCTGTAAGTCTTAAAAAAAAAATAGCAAGATACCTGGTTGGTACCCCTTTGTGGACCAGAGGTACCTTATGAGCTGGTTGGTTCCCACCATCCTTCCTCTTCAGGTGATGCTTTTAACCAGTGCTGAAGTTTGGTCCATGTTCCCCCACCCTCCATGTTGCCCCTTCTCCTTCCTTTGATTACAGCAGGATATTAATGAGTTTCTTAATGAGGCTTATTAGCTCGATGCTTTGTGTTCCATCAGATGACTTTCCCAAGGTCTGGCTCACAAGTGTATCTTCAGTTGGGTTTTCGTTGGCTGCTTTCGTTTGCCTGCTGTAGGTGACCCTGCTTCGGCAGGAGGGTTGGACTAGATGACCCACAGAGGTCCCTTCCAACCCCTACCATTCTGTGATTCTGTGATTGGGGTGCTCCAGCCTTGGGATAGACGGATGGATGGTTGGTTCCTGGCTGCTCTGTTCCTCATCCCAACCCCAAAATGCATTAGGTGAAGCAAGAGGTGACCATGTCACAGGTGGCTGGTGTCCCTCAAGCTCTGGTTGAGCCACACAACCCTGTGGCCACCTCCCAAGGGACCAGCATAGCTCCTCCATTGTGTCCCCATCTGGGACATGGATGTGCCCAGCAAGCTGAGTCGGAGGATGCTGGGGAGGACTAGAGCCTGCTCCATCCAGGAGATGCAAAAGCAACAGCAGGACCACCCAGACCCGCACTCAGATGCCCGAGGGAATTTGCTGTGTGACACCCATGGGTCTGGAGACAGCGGGAGCAGGCGGAGGGACCCCTGCGCTGAGCAGGGTCGTGGTCCCGTCCAGCTGGCGGGGGTGGTTTGTTGACTCAAGTGCTGTTACCTCATTCGGGGATGTTAGTTTTAGGTCCCCGCCAGTGTGGGAACCGGATCCGAGCTTCTCGGCAGCGCCTGTCAACTCTGGCCAAGGAATGCGAGCGGCTCCCGCGGCCGGGGGGGGG